TGGATAAAATTAGTTGAACAGTCTTTTAATTATATTATGGATCCCGTGACTAAGTCTCAATTGTTGAAATTTTAATTGCGTATTTTTTATTTGTCTTGTAATGCGTGAAAACATCAATTGTCTCATAATTCAACCAAAATTAACTGACCTACTTAATTTCGCGAATCGAATCAAACGGCAATATCTGTTTCATCATCCAAGTTATGTAAAATACAAGTTTTTAATTTGTACTTAATTATCGTATTACCTTTTTTATGAAATCTTTTAATTTTTTGGGTTTTACATATTCGGGCGGGCTTTGGGTAAAAGTGGGCTACCCCCAACCCAGCGNCAACCAAAATTAACTGACCTACTTAATTTTGTGAATCGAATCAAACGGCAATATCTATTTCATCATCCAAGTTATGTAAAATACAAATTTTTTAATTTGTACTTAATTATCGTATTACCTTTTTTATGAAATCTTTTAATTTTTTGGGTTTTACATATTCGGGCGGGCTTTGGGTAAAAGTGGGCTACCCCCAACCCAGCGTGTCACTCATTAGACGGATTTGTTGGACAGACCTCTTTTTATATAGGGTTAATTTCAAATTCCACCATGAAAAATCATTTGAATCTTAATTTNGTTTGTTGGGCGGACCTCTTTTTATATAGGGTTAATTTCAAATTCCACCATGAAAAATCATTTGAATCTTAATTTACACCCTTAAATATAGTAATTTGTATCAATACATATCTCCAACTAATAGCCGTCAGTTCACCGTGTAAAACTAAGTGAATAAATTACACATAAATTCCTTAATACTTGTCACTTAATCACCTAAATTCCTCATATTTTAAAACTAGTCATAACTCATACCTAAAGACACGATAAAAAAAAAATTAGCTTTTAAAAAATCGATTCCACTATATTAATTTTTTTCAAAATATATTAATTACAAATTAATCAAATATTAAATGATTAAATAAATGATATAATGTTTTTAGGAATAAAATATATAAATGATTAAACATGTGATAGAAATGAGTGATGTGATTTGACATTTGAGTCTGACAATGAGATGATGGGTGAGGTAAGTGATTGATGATGATTTTGAAGAGAAAAATATAACTGGGATAAAANAATTTTAAAGAGAAAAATATAACTGGGATAAAATTCAAACACATTCCTGTTTTATTATATAGATATTATACTTATATTCCTTGAGAAACCAAATATGACTAAAAATATTTCCCCAATTAGGCGTTCAAATGAATTTGTTTAAATGANGATTTTGAAGAGAAAAATATAACTGGGATAAAATTCAAACACATTCCTGTTTTATTATATAAATATTATACTTATATTCCTTGAGAAATCAAATATGACTAAAAATATTTCCCCAATTAGGCGTTCAAATGAATTTGTTTAAATGATGTATTACATGAGACATAAAGAACATTGTATAAATATCTGCATTATATTACGTATTCAAATAGTAAACTTAATTTTGAACTTTAGAGTATAACGAGCTCACAAAATAAATGATAGTATGAAATTATAATTTTTTATTAATATGAAATCACATTTTTTAACGGTTATATTAACAGATATCAACGATAAATGATTATGTGTTACACATGTACAAATGTGAAGAAGTGTAAGAGTAATATTCTAAATGTGAGAGGTCAAAATAATTAAGTGATAAGTATAAGGGGATTTAAGTGTAATTTATCTATTTACATTTAAATCGCAAACGACTTATAGTTTCAGGTGTGCATTAANTAATTTTTTATTAATATGAAATCACATTTTTTAACGGTTATATTAACAGATATCAACGATAAAGGGTTATGTGTTTCACATGTACAAATGTGAAGAAATGTAAGAGTAATATTCTAAATGTGAGAGGTCAAAATAATTAAGTGATAAGTATAAGGGGATTTAAGTATAATTTATCTATTTACATTTAAATCGCAAACGACTTATAGTTTCAGGTGTGCATTAATATAAATTTATATATTTGAAGGTACAAATTTAGATTTTTGAGTGTACAAATTGAGATTCGAACAATATATTGGGGTGCAATTTGAGATTAACCATTTTATATATATACAATTTTATTTTAAAAAAATTATAATTTAATATTTTGATAAATTATATTTTTGAATTATAAGTAGGGCGACAAAAAATAAATAATAAATAATTTTATTTTTAAATAGTCAAAATAGGCTTCTCAATTATTGAAATTTTCGCATTATCTTTTTAACTATTAAAATTTTTACATTGTCCCTTAACTAATTTGATTATTGCACATTGTCCAATCACAAATAAATGTTATTTTTTTGATGAAAGGTGCTGACGTGTTAAGGTAAAGTGAAAAAAATTATATAATTTGAGGGATAAAATGAAATAAATTTTCATTACATATGTAATGAACTTTAACAATTAGAGCAATCCAAAACTAATCACATAATTGAGAGTATTACCAATGGGTATTTGATTCAATGGTATTCCTTGTCTTGTGAAAACTTTGTCTTCTTGAGGTCAAGAGTTCAGGTCTCACTTCCCTCTCAAAAAAAAAAAAAAAAAAAATNTTGACGTGTTAAGGCAAAGTGAAAAAAATTATATAATTTGAGGGATAAAATGAAATAAATTTTCATTACATATGTAATGAACTTTAATAATTAGAGCAATCCAAAACTAATCACATAATTGAGAGTATTACCAATGGGTCTTTGATTCAATGGTATTCCTTGTCTTGTGAAAACTTTGTCTTCTTGAGGTCAAGGGTTCAGGTCTCACTTCTCTCTCAAAAAAAAAAAAAATAAAACATAACTGAGGGTATAATATGAAAAGTATGGAAGCATCAAGGGTTTAAGGTGTAATTTTCCCTTACAGGCAAGGCTGTTCAATTGGTTTCCAAATCCGAGTTAGCCGTTGGCTCCCTCCCAAACCTCTCTTTTCCTCTTTTGGTTTCCTAAGTCGGTTGTTCACAAACTATAAATGTAAGCCAAAGCCTCTCTTCTCCATTACTCTCAACGGCTCTCTCTATGTATCTTAAAGATTCGAAAGAAACGACGATGGTCTCTTCGTAAGTACTAAATTCCANTACTCTCAACGGCTCTCTCTCTGTATCTTAAAGATTCGAAAGAAACGACGATGGTCTCTTCGTAAGTACTAAATTCCACCACCAGATCAATTCCTCACTTCCGTTTGTTTGATTTCTCTCTCCTCTCTTCGAAAATATTCAGCACTGTAAATCAATGGATTCGTTGATCGAACTCTGCGATCTGATTGCACAAAATCATTCACAGTTTGCTGATAAATTGGCTTGGATTTGTGGACATTAATTTGATACGGGTGAGATTGTGATGTTGGCGATTAACAGTGTCAGTGGAGATTTGGGGGCTTTCAAGGGTTTTCTTGAATGCTCCGTCGCAGAAATTTCCTCCAATTCTTCCTTCCGATGCAAACAAATTAATGTCCACTCTTCTAAATCGATTTGAGATTTCAGTTCCTATTTCAACCTTTCTCTGTGGATTAACAATGTCAGTGGAGATTTAGGGCTTTCAAGGGTTTTCTTGAATGCTTTGTCGCAGAAGCTGTGCTGCTGCTGCTCAAGGAGAGAAGTCTGTGGGTTTGTAAAGAACTTTCAGATGTACTTGGTAATAATAAATTGGATAGCTGTACGTTTTTTTCACAGCATCAATGCAATCGTCCAATTTGTAGCTGCTTTATAATATGTGATTTTGTTTTTCTGATTGTAGTTAATTGTGTTTATGGCTTCGCAGTCGCACTGTTACCATATATCCATCTCCCAGGGTTGATGTGGACCAATGAGATTTGGAAGGCTCTGAAGGGGTAGACAATCTTTTTCAACATTAAAGTTTTTCTTTCCTGTTATTTTCTTTATTATTACGAGACATGGATTGTTTTCAATGCTTTCCTATGCCAGTTATCCTCAAGGCTGTATTTACTATTATGCCTACACTTTTTATCAAATGCATGGTGTTTAACCTTCTGTTGGATGAATGCTTAAGCCCCATTCATGTGGTTCTGATTCATTTGTTTGGTGGTTTGCTTCCTCTAATATTGGTAATTTTGGTAAGTGCATGTTGGAGTGGGATCCGAAGGTCATCCCATGAGGGATGAGGCACAAAAGCTGATTTTTGATGGACTACAAAGTAGATTACTATCTATATTCTAGGACATTCTATCCTCTAGCTATCCAAACACATGGTAGGTTCTATGTTATGATACAAAAGTTCAGTGGTTGGTCTTGTCTGCTTCATGCTTTCACTCGTAGGAGTATGTAGGTTTGTTATGTATGTGGGTGTGGGGAATGTTCTTTTTGCTATTATTGTGATTGTTGTTTTTTTTTTTAATATATATACATGGATTTGTTTTTATTGCTTTCATATGCCAATTATCTAAGTGAAAAGTTGTCTCAAGGTTGTTTTCACTGTTATGCCATCACTTTTACCAATTGCATGGTGTTTCCTCTTCAATTGGGTTGCTGTGAAGGCTTTAGTCCCCATTCATGTGGTTCTAAGTCATTTATTAGGTTGTTTGCTTCCTGCTAATATTGGTAATTTTGGTAAGTACATGATGGTCTGGGATCCAAAGGTCATGCCATGAGGGATGAGGCATAGAAGCTGATTTATGACGGACTACAAAGTAGATTATTATCTATATTCCAGGACCTTCTATCCTCATAGCTATCCGAACGCATGGTAAGTGGTAGGTTGTGATACAAAGTTCAGTGGTTGGGCTTGTCTGCTTCATGCTTTCACTTGTAGGAGTAGTGCAGGTTTGTTATGTGGATGTGGGGAATGTCCTGACATTTGAAATTGTTGTCCACTCCATGATTCTCTTTTGGCTCACTTTGGAAAGCATTAAGAAGGATAGTTTGTCAAAGAAGTTTGTTGACCAATATGGATTATGACGAGGCTAGAAATCTGCATTTGGTTAGTTCATGGAATGGTGAATGAGCTCTTCATTTAGCTTGAGTGAGTCTATGACGCTTGTACTAGACATGGTTGAGCAGTCTATGACTCTCGACAATTGTTGGAGATCCAGTCAAATGATCTCTACTGTGAGTGCAAGACGTCACTGTGATTTTGACCTTTTTACTTCTTATCTTTGATTTTTACCCTTATTTCAGTGGCGGTTCAAGTCATGGTTTCTTTTACTGGCAGACGAGTCGTCAATGGTTAGACAAGCATCCATAGCTTCTCTGATGGACATCACTTCTTCGCTTTCTCCCCATTACATGGTAAAGCTTGCTGAAATTGCCACTTCTGAGGTCATCTCACCGAAGGTACAATCTTTAATCTCGATCAGAAAGTCATGCTTTGGGGACCTGTTAATTGTTTCGATTTTGTTATATATGCTTGTTTTTAATTCACTAGAACTCTCGAACTGTCGTTTCTTCGATAAATCAATTGAAAAGGTAAACCGATTTAGCATTCTTTTGTTGATCGAATATGCTGTGAAAGCTAAAATAAGATTGATTGTCTTCAATTGGTGGACATCCAGCCAAATGATTTCTACTGTGAGTGCCGGACCTGACAGCCATTTCGTCAACTTCTTCCGTTGGTTGCATTAACAATGACAACAAAGATCGTGCAGCCTTTTCACTGGGCCTGAACTATGACATTTTTGTTCATTATTTCATTACGATGAAATTGTGCATATTCTAATCTCGTTGCTCCTCCTAAGCACAAATTGTTATCTCATGACCTCTTAGGTTGTCATAGCTTATTGTTTTGCTATGTTCTCTCCCTCTATAATAGTACAAATTTTATTCTGTCTATCTAGTGAGAGCTTTGTTTTATTCAATATTTTTGGATTGGTTCTGTGGAATCCTTAAAACTTAGCTTAATTCAAAATGTGTCTTTTGCCACTANTCAAATGATTTCTACTGTGAGTGCCGGACCTGACAGCCATTTCGTCAACTTCTTCCGTTGGTTTGCATTAACAATGACAACAAAGATCGTGCAGCCTTTTCACTGGGCCTGAACTATGAAATTTTTGTTCATGATTTCATTACGATGAAATTGTGCATATTCTAATCTCGTTGCTCCTCCTAAGAACAAATTGTTATCTCATGACCTCTTAGGTTGTCATAGCTTATTGTTTTGCTATGTTCTCTCCCTCTATAATAGTAACAAATTTTATTCTGTCTATCTAGTGAGAGCTTTGTTTTATTCAATATTTTTGGGTTGGTTCTGTGGAATCCTTAAAACTTAGCTTAATTCAAAATGTGTCTTTTGCCACTAATTGTTTTGACATTTTCTATTTTTATTTTGTTGGAACTTGGAAGCACAATTTCTTGCAATTCAGACTTATTCACCGGGATGAATCTTTTACCTACATAATATTGGAATTTCTTCACTGGGTTAATCAAACAATGCCGTGTTTTCCCCTCAACTCTCTGTAAGTTGTCCTAATGGTACACTACTCTTGTGGGATCTATTAAAGTCTTGATGTGTTGGTCTATGGCGTCATCATCACCTTATGACAGGAATTTTTAGATTTGTCATCTCCTTTAGATGGTTTATGGTTATATTAATTTGTCGGATACACTGCTGTGTGGGATCTGTTAAAAATCTTGATCTGTTATCATAATCAAATTCCGAGAGGGATTTTAGCTTTGTCATCTCCTTTAGATGGTTATATTAATTTGTCGGATGACCGATGGAACTAACTATTCGTACGTTCACTTATTTGCCACATCAATACTGGCCCCCACTCCCTCTCCCTCTCCCACACATATATCTTTCACATAATTTAAAGTTATGTTGTGTTTTCTGTCTACCCAGTGCTTGGTTTTTTATTTCTGCATCAATGTGTTTATCTGCACCTTTGCATGTGACAGACTTATAATGAAGTTCAGTATTTTTTTCTGACAGTTGGTGTCATGTACCCTGAGGGTTTATTTGTTTTCCTTCTAATTGTGAGTAGTTCCTGACTAGCATTATTTTTGTTTTGTATCATTTAGTGGTCAAGCTTATCTCACCTCCAACCCCACCCCATCACCATAGATATGGGTTCGGGGAAAATTTGGTGTCTGATACTAGCCTTAATACTTCACAATTCTTGTATAATTTAATATTGTTTTCATTGAGTTTTCTGTGTCATGAAATATGTTGGCCTTTGACACCAGAAATGCACAGGTTGAAAGAAGTGACTTTTGGGACACTGTGTTTTCAGCATCTGTTGACAAGGTTTGTTCTCTTTCATTGTCTGACTTCCGCATTATTTCCCAGTGAGGTTGTTGGAAGCTTGGCACAGTAAAATGCCATATTCCATTGGTTGAAGCTGTGATGCTGTTGTTTGAAGAGAGAGTTCTGGGGGTTCGTAAAGCTCTTTCGGAGGTACCGCTGTAGGTTTTGTCACAACATCAGTTCAAGACGACCAATTTTTAGCTACTTTATAATTCGTGATTGTGTTTATTCTGGTTGTAGTTTATTATGGTTATGGCTTTGCATTGTTACCTGATTGGTCCTTCACTCCTTCTGGAGGGTTGTTTGTAGAGTATCTTGTATGCCGTTGTGCAATAAAAGATTGAGAGAGGGATGATCTTGAGGGATTTAAGGAATTCTTTACGTCAAGCGGAACTTATTATCCTTACAATACAAGAGACTGGATGTTTACATATGAGTGCTTTTAGTCCAAATGATGGCCACATATTCCTCCCACCCTGTCAAGTCAAACACAACCCCAGTCCTCAGAGAAAAATAAAAGAAATACTGCAAGAGGATATGTGGCACTGACTTTCTATTCTATTGGATCAATATGGGGTGGTCCTTCATTATTGATTTGTATCTCCAATTATGCTCTAGGATCCCTCCACTGTCAAAGTGGGTTGTTTCCGGTCAATTTCAGGTAGTAATGGATACCACCGGTGAATTTCTATGGGTTTGTCAGTTGGACCCAATTAATTTTAAAATGGATGTTCATACTTGACCAAAATTAACAAAAATCGAAATTAACAGGATCTAATTTGTTCAATTATTTTTTGTTGTCATGTGTCATATTTTTCTGCTTAGTGTCATAATTATTGCATATATGTGGTCATTTGTATGTAGTGTAGTTAGCTTAGTCCTTAGTGTGCTCAGGTGAAGGCTGACACAGTCTGTGAGGCAGAGTTACGGGCCGTTTGTGAAAAGGTTTTTTTTTGATACCTATCATCATTCCTGAATTGGGTTTACTTGAATGTTGATCCTATATTTATCACATATTTTTATTTTGCTCGGATACTTCTTTTCTTGTTTATGATGGGCGTACCTTATCATGATTAAAATCATATTTGTGGTCTTTGCAGCATATTGCGTGGCCATTTTTGTTGAAGATGATCATACCATAATAGCCACANATTTTTATTTTGCTCGGATACTTCTTTTCTTGTTTATGATGGGCGTACCTTATCATGATTAAAATCATATTTGTGGTATTTGCAGCATATTGCGTGGCCATTTTTGTTGAAGATGATCATACCATAATAGCCACAGGATTACATTGGTGCGGGTGCCACGTTTAGTTTGACAGTACAACTTTTGACACTTTCTTCTAACATATCTTTGGAGCTTTTGGGGGCCTGCGTAAATATTTTCTTCGGTTTTGATGAGGGGTTGAAATTTCGTGAATGTTAGAATATTGCTGGCATTTCGTTTTAGTGGAGGTAGTGAGTCCTACATTGCAACAATTTTGACATTTGACTATGAGTTAGCCAGCTTTACTGGTTTGCTAATGCATCTTAGAATTATGCAGACATAGATCTTCTCATAGGGACACAATGCTTTCTGAATGTAAAGCTCGGATTGATATTCCATATCCTCTAGTAAAATTAGTGATTGGCGTGCACTTAGGTATTATACGTTCATAGTTCATACACTTATTTCAACAAGCGAATGACAACTATCTGTGTGGTGCACACCTATTCAGGAACTCTATGTCTGCCTGCCAGTGCTTCTACATAGAATATAGACATATCCTCAAATCCAATTGTATGTGCCCTGACTCTTGCCTGTTATTCACATTCATATTCCATATATGCAGCTAGTCCCAGGTAAGTTTGATAGAATAAAATTTAGTCATGGAAACAATGCAACGAACGCTTCCTTCATCTATAGCTATACTATTAATAAAAGTATGGATGCATGAAAAACTTTTGATCACCTAAATGTCCTTATCAAAATACTTAATAAAAAAATAGTCTCCCATAATTATTAAAATCATTCAAAACACTGCCTAGTTTTTAATAGCTCAAAACAATAATTCTCTCCACATATTCCTTAATTATATAACTTCCCCTACTACTAAAAAGTTAGCAACAAATTTCCCCTTTTTAACAGGCATGATAATGTTTGATCATATCAATAATAACAATTTTATAAATACCAAAAATATCATTAAAGACATTGAATAGATTAGTATACCATAAAATACTGACTAAATGACATAGCTCTTAAGAAAAACAAAATGTTCAAATTCGTAGGCCAGTGCATGTCCGGCAAATGTGGATTTCATTTAAATTTTCATATTCATTTGTTATTTATTTGCCTAAAGATATTATGTTTGCCTAAGATACCATATGAATATTTATTTGCGTTTACATTTTTTTATTTCATTCAAATGGAAACCATGCCCAATCCAGCAGACATTCACCACCAAAATGTGCAAATCACTAACACTCACTTCACTTCACTATTACTAGCACACAGTCAGATGACTACCAATCCATTTTTATCAATGTTTTCTCTTTTATTTCCCTCTCATTCAGGTGATATTAATGTATTTATTTTTCTCTCACTATTTATATATTTTTCTGTTGCAGAAGATGTCGATTACTAACTGCTGTATTTTACTGCCTTGTGTGTCACGTACCCAGAGTTCCTCTACTACTTGCTCAGTTTGGGTGTTTTCTCTGGTTAGCAAACTTTATCGTGCCGTTGATGAAGGGGTTATTATGGTAACATTAACATACATCTGGTCATGTGGCATATTAGGAATTTCTTGTTCTATCCGAATCTTATTTGTGATTGTTGATTGGATCTGACCATTTCTGCTATTATTTGAGGTTTTAGAAGTTAAATTTCAGTAGGTTAATCTGGACCAGATTTAATCATACATTAAATCTTGTTTGATATATTTTTTCTTTTTCCCTGTTTTTGTGGCATCTTAAAGCTTCAGATGAGTTTTTTCTTCTTCTTTGCTTTGCGTTTATGTAGTTTATGAGTTCTATAATCTGCCCTTTTAAGGTCATTTTGAACATTTTTAAGGAGAGTGAACTTGATGCCAGGTTACATGGGCCCATCAATGGAGGTCTCAAGTCTGAGAGGTTATTCTTAGCAATCATTTTTTTGTCTGTTGATTTAAAGAGTTTAATGTACTTGTCACTTGTGGACTTCTGTAAATATGAGGATTTTGAGACCAAATATGCAATACTCATAGCACAGTGAAGTAACTGTATGTTGATAGTTGTCTGAATATTCTATTGCATACTCTTACCAAACTGTGATCTACTTTGTGCCGTATGAAACTACAGCATATGCCTATTATCAAGATGACATTCTGCTTTGCTAGGTTTTTTTTATTACTGATTAACTAATCTTTGACTGTAAGCAAGATGCCTATTATCAAGATGACATGTAAGCAATATGGCATTTTCAAACCTGTAGTAATTAACATCTGACCCCCTTTTTACTTTTTGTTGTGAATATAATTTTATATATTATTTAGTTTATGAAATTTGCTTACGAGGTGAATTTAAACAACAATGCTCCTTCTCCTAGGCATATGCTGAATTTAAACAACAATGCTTTCCATAAGTTGTCATTTGACTGTTAATTGGAGATGAGTTGTTATTCTCATGGATTCCATGTTTCTTTTAATGTTTTTTTATGACATCCATGAGTTGTTATCAAATCTGTGATATGTATGCTACATTTTAATAAAAAGAGCCCTTCTTTTGTACCACGTCAATGTTCGTACTAATAGCCTCTTTTTGCATGACATGTTTGTTGCTGGTAAAACTTATTTGATCTTGTTTCAGCCACCTGCATTTCCTAGTGAAACACCTGGATCAATAAAAGAGTTTGTAAAGGAAAAATACCGCCTTCCAAGATTGGACCTTGATGAATTTTCCCCAGAAAAAGCTGGTAGGCAGTGGAAATTCAACTGGTTTGATAGAGCAGAAGTTGCTTGGAGCCATCATTGCTCTGCTCTGTTGTCGTTCCCGCATGGGAATTATCTTTTAGACGTACAAAGAGGGAGCTTGAAAAATGGGAACCTAGTTCGGTGTAGGTTTGAAATTTTGCTTATACATTGCGCTTGTTCTTGAACAAAGATGTTCAGAGTAGCTTAACATAGAAAACAAGTTCACAAGAATTGCTTGAGCAAAAACGATATAGTTTTTTTTTTTTTTGGGGAAAAAGTTCTTCTGGGTTTCTGTTATAGTATCACTTATTACTAACCCAGTCGTTGACCCCTAATTTATTCCTTTGTCATGGAGTTGACTTATTATAGTGTCCTAGGTGGGATGTATCAGAACTTACTACAGGAGCCGAGGATTCTAGTGCTTTGCCACGCATTTCTGGACCTTGCAACGGATTTTGTAAAGGGAAGCATCAACAACCATCCTTTTCATCCCCGTGGTTTGGATGATTCTGAGTCTTTTGGGATGATAGTTCCAGATGATGCTTCTAATGGTGAATGGGTATGGGAAGTGCTTAATGGTGGTCCTGCCCTGGCCCTTCCTCCAAGCTTTAAAGAAGGTCTGGATTTTGGGGATCTTAAGGTAAATTTACTTGATTTGTCTTTATGTAGTTGAAAAGCTCTCAACAAAACACGAAACCTTTTTTTTTGGTTAATTCTATATATTTTCTCGACTTGTTTTGTGTATGTCACTTTTAGAAGGCACATCATTTCTCTTGGAATATTTATGAAGGTCAAAGTGCAACCGAGAACACATCAGAAGTGAGCTGGTCAGTTGTTGCTTTGCAGTGATTATTTACAAGTCTGCGTTCTCATATTTACATTTTTAACCTAGACATTAGATCGTGGTAGTTGCATGGAGCATGTGGTTGTGCATGCATGTGCTTGTGGTTGTGTAACTTTTTTTTGTAGGAAATCTAACAGTTGCCTCACATCTCCTATGCTGTTTTTCCCGTGTTTGCATTCTGCAGAATGAGTTTTCCGTGAAGTTTGATGACTTATTTAAGAAAAGCTTGGGAAGAGGATGTCACTGAATTTCCTGTGTTTTAAAGTTATGATATCATGGGCAAAGAGCTCTAAATTTGAGCTGAACTGGCATCACTTTGGTCTGCTTTAGCTCATGAAATCAGGTAAGACACATGGTATAGCTGCAGGAAAATTTGTCTATTGGTTGTCATAGACTTGCTCAATTCAGCAATTTTCATCTTGCATTTGCATCAAGTTTGTTTTTCAGTAGAATGGTGTTATGCTTTCGTTGATAGATTGAAAAGGCAAATCAATCAACATGAAATTGTTTGTTTTGGTTCTATCAACCAAGGAGAAAATATAGAATGAGCTTGAGGTAATAATTCCATATTGATCCGAATCAACTCATATGCTCCCATTTTTAATAAGATTCAGGCTAGGAGCATACAAGTATTGTAATGTGCTTCTCTGTGGCTATCTGGTAACCATGTATATAGGGGTATAATCGGTAATTTGACAACAAAAACAATAGGGAGTTTAGGATAAGAAGAGAGCTAAGCTCCTTAAAGAGGATGGGACTTAAGAGCTATCACTTTAAGAATAGTGCCATTTTGAGTCTAGGGTAAGAGCCGCTTCTTTCTACAATTCGAAGTGCTTTTCTTGCGTATTCTTGTTAAACTAGCGTTTATATATAAATGTAGGAAGTTTTGAGAATTCAAGAGAAGGTCACGGCGAGACGAGCCGTTTATCATTACGATAACACGATAACGGAATTGTAATAATTCTTATTCGAAAACGGGAAAAACAAATTCTAAGGAATAAAAAAAATTAAAAAATTTTATCGGGATAAGTATTGCAGTAAGTGGAAAGAAGTCTGAGATCTCCAATTTAAACGAGATATCAATCAAAATATACCTTGATGATCATAGAATCATAGCCTATCTTCTAAGGTTACTGTGTACATAAATAATTATTATGAAAATTCTTAAAGTTAATAGGACTATTGTTGTAGTTTTAGTTAAATTATTTGATTGGTTTGCTTTAATAGTGGAATAGAGTTTTTCTTACTTAGCAAAACATGTGGAAAAAATGTCAATGGGACTATTAAGAGCTTTGTGCACGGTTTAACATTGGTGCAAAGTTGAATAGTCACACATTGGCTTATATTCAAATCTGGGTCTTCTTTTCTGGCGGTACTTGCAGTTCTACACGCTTTATTATTTCTTAACACGATTTTTTATAGTTTGTTTGGTGATAGTTTAAGAAGAGATTTATGTGAAATTTTATTGATTGGAATTGTTAGTCATTCTTTTTGGGTTGGGAATTCTTTATATTTTCTGTACATGGCATATGTGAGTTGTGACATGTGGGTTTGAATGACTTTATGCTTGGACCGGAGTTTTGGAACTGATGTTAGGGGCAACAATTGATGATGCAGCAAACAGAACAATGAAGATTAGATCTACTTGGTGCTACAACAACCATACTTGATGTCACTGCCCAGAGTTTTTTTTATGGTTTTTTCTTTAAATTTTTNCTAGGGGCAACAATTGATGATGCAGCAAACAGAACAATGAAGATTAGATCTACTTGGTGCTACAAAAACCATACTTGATGTCACTGCCCAGAGTTTTTTTTATGGTTTTTTCTTTAAATTTTTGATAAGAAGTAACACTTTCATTTCATAGGAATTAATATAAGTATAAAAGTGGTGGATAAGGGCATGAACTCTATGTATTATGTTGTTTTTTTTTTTTTTGGGTTTTTTCCACTGTTCAATCTTCTCAACTTCCTCATCATATTCTATTCAACTCTATGTGGTTCAAACTACTAGTGCTATAAGTAAAATCTTTATTGAACTTCAAATGAATTCTTCAATTTAATGTAGTCTCGAGAAAGAAAAAAATGTTGCTTGGTTTTGAAAAATTCTATTAAGAGAGCTTTGCTTTATTCGAGATTGGGATTGGTGAAGAAGTAGTACCATCTCACATTATCCTTACCATGGAAAATCATGCTTTCTTTAGAAATGCCTTACACAAGCGGCCTTTAACCACCGAAACACATCCACTTTCAACCAATCAGCCCATAGCCGCCATCAGCCTCACACCCCAAGTCCTATAACTAGAGAATGTTGGGTTCCTCAGGAAATCTGTCGGAACCTGTTTGGACTACACAGTCAAAGATACTATTAGAATTTCCTAAACACTGATTGTATTCAATTGTACATTTTTGATGCTTTGTGGGCTGTGTTTATTTTTGGGTGTTTTGAAGATTTGTGTTCATGGGTGGCTTTGAACAGCAATTGAAAGAGTTGGGTTCAATGAGGTTGGTTAATTTAGCAATAATATTTCTTTTACTGCCACTTCTTTGCATGTCGATATATAAATTTTGGGAAAATTTATGGAATATGGAACTTTTGTTTGTGTTTCTATTTCAAATATGTGATGTCTCCCTATGCTTTCTTTTTTAATTTGCTCCAGATCTGAAAACTTTTTGCGATGTGGGTATTCTTCATTTCTTTCTCTAATTTGAATCTCTGTAAGTTTGAGTTAATTTCTGTTTTTATTTAGCTTTGTTTTCAGATGAATGTAATGACATATTTATGGGTTTTATTTAGTACTTTTTGAGAGGAATTTGTATGTATGTTTGTTTGATTGTGGATAAATGAGTTTGAGAATTTGTTGAATTTGAAGGTGAGTTCCATGACTTGATTTAATTAATGTATTTTTTTGTCTTATGAATGAATGATTATACATTAAAATATCTAGAAAAAATTTCGACGCCATCGGTGGACAGTTCTACGATGCTGCAGATTGGTTTGGGAAGGTAATTTCTCTTAAGTTCTATTGTTTATGTTTCAGGCATGTATTTTATAGTACAAGAATCTGCTGTAAGTACTTCTTTTCAATTTTAGCAGTTCTGGAAGCAATTTCTCTTAAGTTCTATTGTTTATGTTTCAGCTATGTATTTTATAGAACAAGAATCTGCTGTAAGTAGTTCTTTTCTAATTTAGCAGTTCATTTCCTGTACTATTTATCCAACCTTTGTCACCCTCTATCTGTAATTTGTTCAATGCATCAATATTTAGTTCGCTTCATCTTAAAGGAACATGTAAGGAAGTCAATGGGAGAATGTCAGGTGACATTAAAACTTCATCTCAGTGTTTTCTAATTGAGAGATGCACCCCTGATCATGAATACTTTTGTTTTGCTTTTTTTTTTTTTTTTTCCTTTTTGGAGCAGGAGCTGAAGCAGTTTCCTACTCTGCAAGNCTTCATCTCAGTGTTTTCTAATTGAGAGACGCACCCCTGATCATGAATACTTTTGTTTTGCTTTTTTTTTTTTTTTCCTTTTTGGAGCAGGAGCTGAAGCAGTTTCCTACTCTGCAAGTTGCAATAGCTGGAGCCTGCCAATGAAGCCTTAGAAAGGTTCCGTCATGGAAGTAAAAAGACTGTTCTGAGATTGGTGGACATGGAATCTTTGGATCGGACTTTGGATTTCTTCCGGAAACTTTCCCAGGAAGTGAAGAAAGGGAGAAACCCAGCTGCCTCACCCATTGACCGCTGTAGAGAGGGCCACTTTAGGAGGTAGGGTCAAATGTTTCATCTTATGGTGGTATGGTTTCTGAGACACTCAAGATCATAATTCCAAAGCAATGGTTGATTATCAAGTTAAGGACCCCAAACTGTCTCAATCGCTCTTCTGCACACAGATTGGAAAGAAAGAGGTGCTCTTTCTGGTTTTCCATATATGTGTGCACATGAATGACATAAAATAGACTATTATTTTGTGCTCTATATCAGTATAATGATATTATTCCGACTAGCCAACCTTTTATTTTCTCTCTTCCACTAACTCCATTTTACATTTTTTCTCTTGATAGATTTGCCTGGTTTGACGAAAGAGGCTGCTTGTATATCCTATATTTAGTTTATGATGTTTTTGGATCTTGTAAGTGAGCTGAACTCCATTTAATAAAAAAAGGTTTATTCTTTGCAGAGGGCCAGCTGGAAAGTATTGTTCAAGACATTGAAACCATTGTTCGATCTTATGTTGAGAAGGTACTATAATTCATCTCTTTTAAATACAATACACTCATTGTTAGAGCTTATCTCACTTTGACATTATGGCATCTTTCAAACTAGTATACCGTTGTGAGCCTTTCCACCCATTGCTCACTGGTTTTGAGTGGATGCCTTTGACACACTATCTTGGGAGAGTTAGGGAGGTTTTAGGAAAGACTCATTTCTCAACTTCATTGATTTGGTATTTGGTTCTCCCTTTGTTCATTCCATAAGTGCACCTTCTTATATCTTTGAGTGTGTCTTGTGGTTTTTATTTACGACTGTCGATGTTCAAGAGGCGGGTTGCATGTTATATCTTATCCCACATGAATATAATTGCATGAACCAAACTTGTATATGAACCTTGGGGGCTTCTTCACCCAGTGCTAATAAGATTTGAAATGGATGCTTTTAAGACCTACATTAACTTACCCAGAAAAATTCCTACATTGGAAATTTGTCACTCCAAGTGTGCTCCCTTTGGTTGAATGACTTGGTACTTCTTAAGATTTAACAAATGTCCATAATCTGATGCATTTTTGCCTTATTCCTCCTTATGCATTTTTTGTCTTTGTGGGATTTCCAGCATTCTAATAAACTATTGATCTTTAGATTTTCATGATGCTGTGGAAGTTATTGCAGAATTCTGGATACCTCCCAGGTCAGTTTAGGTTTCAAATTGCTGTGTTCCAACGAGGTTTTAAACATTTCACTTCCAATTTACAAGATAAATTTTCACTTTCACTCCAAGTGTGCTCCCTTTAGTTGAATGTCTTGGTACTTCTTAAGGTTTAACAAATATCCATAATCTGATTCATTTTTGCCTTATTCTTCCTTATGCCTTTTTTGTCTATGGGATTTCCAGCATTCCAAAATACTATTGATCTTTAGATTTTCATGATGTGGTGGAAGTTATTGCAGCTTATTACAACTAGTGGAGACGTTTTTTGTTGTTCCACAAATATGATACTCGCTTTTGTGCCATTAACTTCCTCTATTTCATCTTCTGTTTATCTATTTCATTTGTTGTCTACACGTACCATCCTTGTTGATGCATTGTCATTTTCTATAGAAATTTCTTCTGTTGTACAGTTTTTGGACCGTTGAAATTGATGAAACTATGTTTGCCGTAGCCTAACAGCATTACACTAACAATTTCCCCTGCCAATCAAGATATAGCACCATCTTTCTAGGAAAATGGGTCCATCAGGTATGTTCTGTTTGCCTCTTGTTTGCAGTCAATTTATGAATCTCTGCATAACTTCTTTATATTATGCAGTTTTCTCCTTATGACAACATTTGTGGCTTGCCCACGTGAATGGACATTTGGATGCATCTCAGCATTACACTAGCAATTTCACCTGCCAATCAAGATATGGCACCATCTTTCTAGGAAGTGGATCCATCAGGTATGTTCTGTTTGCCTCTTGTTTGCAGTCAATTTATGAATCTCTACTAACTTCTTTATATGATGCAGTTTTCTCCTTATGACAACATATGTGGCTTGCCCACATGAATGGACATTTGGATGCATCCTTTATCCTTATTTTTCTGTTGTCTCCTTTTATGTCAACAGTTAAGTTGATACAACATTAGACAATACACTTCTTGATCAAGAGTTTCCTCCTTTTGTCTTTCTGTTTCCTTTTATTTTCATATTTAGTAGTTTAGATAATTTACATTCTTTCTTCCCCATGGAATGTTTTTGTAGGAAGATCATATTGATTGCAACATCCTTGGGTGGGAATAGTGAACTGTTCACAAGCTGATATAAAAAAAAATATTGATATGATTGCTGCAATGTGGAAAGAATGCAAACACTTTACTATAAGTCCTGAATATATACTTCTTGATCAAGAGTTTCCTCTTTTTGTCTTTCTGTTTCCTTTTATTTTCATATTTAGTAGTTTAGATTATTTACTTTCTTCTTCTTCCCCATGGAATGTTTTTGTAGGAAGATCATATTGGTTGCAACATCCTTGGTGGGAATTGTGAACTGTTCACAAGCTGATATAAATAAAAATATTGATATGATTGCTGCAACGTGGAAAGAATGCAAATACTTCACTATAAGTCCTGAATATGGAACTTAGCTAGTGAAATGGGTTCAAAGTACCTTGCCAAACTTCTCTCGTAGGTATAATTTTGTGCATCTTATTTGTTCAAATTATTATGTTTTTATTGATCACAAAAAAGGTAAACTAGATGTGTGCTTTTAGTCTTTTACTATTTGCACTCGGTGTATGTAATTAAGGAGAGAATACCAGGTATTACGTCTTTGATTAACAAAAGCATTTATGAACTCAAAGCTGAGATGGACAACCTTGGTAGGCCTATTGCTGTTGATGCAGGGGTGAGTGGCTTTTATCTCTTACTATTGTTCCTGAATTGAGACCGTATGTGTCTTATCACTTGCTGAATCTCTGTTTTTTAGGCTCAAATTGTACACCGTTCTGGGGCTTTGTCATGCTTTTGATGGATATTTAAGGAGCATCTAGATGGAAAGTAACATGATAACTTCATGTAGTTCTTGCTTTGGTCTAAAAAAAAAAAATAAATCTGGTGTTCCATCTGAAATTATGGGACAGCTAAACTATCAATGAGCTGATCCCGTGCTACTGGACTTATTTAGAGAAGCTTACATTACTGTTCATCAAAGCATGCATAATCTGCTGAAATCTGATCCTAAAATTACCTTGATATGTAATATAGGGAGTTACCCGTTTAGGTTGTCCATTGTCTAGACATCCCACATAATTAAAAATTCTAGGGAATAAAGATAGCATTAGCATTAATTCTATTGAAAATCCATTGTCCAGAATGGGCCTTTTGAGAAACGAGAGCCATCACAACAGTTGATGGTACAGATCAATCTTTAGCTCCAGTAAATTACAATGACACTCTCTGACTTTTGGGTTGGAGATTTTAACTCTTAAGAGGATTTATTTATCCTTTAGAATTAAACTTATTGACCCTCCAAATTCTCAAAATTGAAAAGAGATCAAATAGAGAGAGAGAGAGGAAAGGGGGCAGTCTCTCCCCGGCCTCCCCCCCTTTTTTTCTTGGGAAGCCACCTCTTTCCTTGCAGACTTCTCCCCTGACAAGAATCCAACCAGCCCAAGACCCACAAAAAAAATAGCTGCAAACCCCCTATAGAACCAAAACTTTCTAGCTACTTCGTGTAAAATTTTCAAGGCTCTTCTTGATTGAGTTATCAGTTACATTGATCTTTGATTATGGTTAAGGACTTCAAATCCTTTTCCGTACATATCTGTTGGAACATTTTCTCTAGTTTTCCGTACAAGGAGGTGTTTGGTTTGTCCACCATGACCAAATTAATTAGTCTGTCCTAATCATTGATTTAATTCAGCAGCCTCCACTGCATCCAGTTCATTAATTTGTCTAAGTCATTGATGTAAATCATTGGTGTTTGGTTGAGTCAATACGGTTATTTACTTCTTTTGAGTTGTTTTCCCAACATACTGCCATCTATAGAGGCAAATTTATAGAGATGTGGTGTTTACCTTTGCTACACATCTTGGAATCAGTTGACTGTTAGTGGATTAGTGAATTAATGTCTTTATATTCATAAAACGACTATTTTTGCCCACGTGAGGGACGGTATTAAGCGAGCTTGTACCTCACATCGAACAATTAGGACCACCAAGGTTAGTTTATATACTTGAAGTCCACTCCAACCATTGCCAAGTGGTTTGGGCTGGATGCTCTAACACCATAGGTGTTGCTGATGTTGAGAAGTACCTCTATGTACTTGATATGCCTGGGCTATGGTTTAATAGGTGATAAGAATTTTGAAAATGCAATATCGAATTGGTAGTTGCCAGTTAATTGGATGAAAGCTCAGTTGATGTACTCTTAAGGCTTTAGCTCTAATATGAATAAAACTTTAGTTTAATTTTAGCTTCTGGCATACCATNACTGTTAGTGGATTAGTGAATTAATGTCTTTATATTCATAAAACGACTATTTTTGCCCACGTGAGGGACGGTATTAAGCGAGCTTGTATCTCACATCGAACAATTAGGACCACCAAGGTTAGTTTATATACTTGAAGTCCACTCCAACCATTGCCAAGTGGTTTGGGCTGGATGCTCTAACACCATAGGTGTTGCTGATGTTGAGAAGTACCTCTATGTACTTGATATGCCTGGGCTATGGTTTAATAGGTGATAAGAATTTTGAAAATGCAATATCGAATTGGTAGTTGCCAGTTAATTGGATGAAAGCTCAGTTGATGTACTCTTAAGGCTTTAGCTCTAATATGAATAAAACTTTAGTTTAATTTTAGCTTCTGGCATACCATCTAATCATCAACTTACTTATTTAAGACAAGATAGTAGAAAATTTGTTTGGGAAGATGATTTGAAATGAACGACTAATCAGTGGTGTCATTTCTCCATGTGTGCTTTTCATACTCTTTGAACTACAACAACAGTTGGACAACTGAAGCTAATGGTTTTTAACTGAATTGCAATTTTTAGCAATATCTGCATTTATGTCTGATTTTTTCTTTTTACCCCACAAGATCAATTTATTAAAAAATGAAATGCCTGTACTTTGTTTATCAGCAAGTTCTAGCTTCTTAGATGACAAATTTCTTTATGAGGAGTATAGTTTGTCTCGGAAGAAGTGGTCATTTCAATTGGATGCCATTCCTGCTGACTATTTGAAAATTTGGAATTGATGAGAAGCCAGAATTTGCCTTTGAATGCCCCTGGAGAACAACAGGTGTCTATTTGGAAAGTGATTTTTTTATCCTTCTTATTTTAAGATGTCATACTATTCTACTTCTTGAATGAGTTGTTATGTATTTTTGTAGGGCTATTATAAAACCATTCAGCATCTTAGGTGCTTTCTTTCTCATCAATTTTTTTTTAAGTTTGTGTCTGTGGCCTTATGTGGAATGTTGATGAAACATGTTTCACTATCATTATTTTATTTCTTGCTTCCCAATCAAACTTCCCCGTGGTTGATTTTTTCTGCTAACATAACTTGAACAAATAAAGCACTTATCTTCAGATTTCAATGCATATCTCGGGATTCATTTCATGTTGGGAGGTATGGAGTTTTCCAAAATAACAATTAAAGAATGTGTTTACCAAGACGGAGAGAAGATGTGTCAACAGATGGTGGACAATTTGAGCTAAAGGATGATGCTAGCAATTGCAGCAACAGTTTGTCCTTTGAAAATGATAAGCCAATGGTGGCCAATTCAGTCTTTCCAAGGAACCAAAGATAGAACTTCAGAAATGGAGACTCTAAAAGTATCTTGTTCTCTGGAAATGTAGAAGTGACATGAGCGGTATTGATGAAACGAAGTAAGACAATTTGAATTTATATTTTTAACCCTTCTTATTACTTAGTGTGGTCTACTCAAAATCTTTATCGCAATACTTTCATTACTTTTGTGAATTTCAAATATAAACAAGATAACCCAAATTTCTATTTCATGTCAAAAGGGTGTAAAGGTACATTCTTAACTTTTTATTTTTTGGCTTTTTTTTCTTAAATTGTTATTTAGCTTGCCTTTGGTATTTCTCAACAAGTTTTGAAGCCACATCAATCAAGGTTTTCATGGAAGGTATATACCATTTTTGCAGTTCCAAAATAGAAGATTCTGGACCTAAACAAGGAAGGATTGGAAGTAAAGTAGAAAAGAATAGTTCGGACCCATCTTGCCAGGTGATTCTTGAAAGCCATGTTCTGCAGCTTCTATGTGTGCAAGTGCTAAAGGAATGATCTGAACTGGGTATTGTAAAAAAGGTATGATAGTTCTTGACATTTGGTTTATAGAGGAATCCTATTGAAATATTAAATGAACTGGAAAACGAAATTAATTTTTGGCTTGTTTCAAAGCTTTTGGGCCCTACTGCATTGTCAGAAGTTGTGGAGGTGTCTTTTACAAGGCAAGACATAGTTAGTGTATCCTATATTCTTCTTTTATCAATGTGTGTTATATTTGTTATTGCATTTGGCTGCATAATAGTGTGCATATTTTTTTTTATCTCTATATTTTTGTGCATTTTTATATTGTTTTTATGTGTTTATTAGGGTTTATGTGTGAGTGTGTCTATTAGTGTATGTGTATTTTCTTATCAATGTTGTTGTTTGTGTTTTCTATTATCAATTTGTTTTTGTGTATTTGTTTATGAATGTTTTTATTGTAATGTTTGTGGTTCCGCTGGACGACACGGCATTATCGTTCAAATATAGGTCAGCTGTACTTGCGATGGTTACTAAGGATCCAATATGATCACTTAGGTATCGTGGAATCTTTGTTTTCTCAATGTGTTTTTNTTGTACTTGTGATGGTTACTAAGGATCCAATATGATCACTTAGGTATCGTGGAATCTTTGTTTTCTCAATGTGTTTTTGTGTTTTTGATTTGTGTAATGTGTTGGTGTGCGTTTATTACTGTGTATTTTTAATGTTGTTTATGTGTGTTCTTTGTGTTTNCTGTACTTGCGATGGTTACTAAGGATCCAATATGATCACTTAGGTATCGTGGAATCTTTGTTTTCTCAATGTGTTTTTGTGTTTTTGATTTATGTAATGTGTTGGTGTGCGTTTATTACTGTGTATTTTTAATGTTGTTTATGTGTGTTCTTTGTGTTTCAGTGTGCGATTTTTATGTGTCAGTGCATTCTTTTTATGTGTATGTGTGCCCTATCGCATTGTCAGAAGTTATGGAGGTGTCTTTTACATGGCAAGACATAGTTATTGTGTATCCTATATTCTTCTTTTATTAATGTGTGTTATATTTGTTATTGCATTTGACCGCGTATTAGTGTGTGTATTTTTCTTTTATCTCTATGTTTTTGTGCATTTTTATGATGTTTTTGTGTGTGTTTATTAGGGTCTGTGTGTGTGTGTCTATTAGTGTATGTGTATTTTCTTATCAATGTTGTTATGTGTGTTTTCTTTTATCAATTTATTTTTGTGTATTTGTTTATGTATGTTTTTATTGTAATGTTTGTGGCTCCGCTGGATGACACGACATTATCGTTCTGATATAGGCTAGTCATACTTGTGATGGTTCCCAAGGATCTAATATGATCACTTAGGTGTCGTAAATCTTTATTTTTCCAATATGTTTTTGATTTGTGTAATGTGTTAGTGTGCGTTTTGTAACTATCTGTATTTTTAATGTTGTTGATGTGTGTTCTTTGTGTTTTAGTGTGTTATTTTTATGTGTCAGTGCATTCTTTTTATGTGTATATGTGCCCTATCGCATTGTTAGAAGTTATAGAGGTATCTTTTACAGGGCAAGACATAGTTATTGTGTAGCCTATATTCTTCTTTTATCAATGTGTGTTGTATTTGTTATTGCATTTGATTGCGTAATAGTGTGCATATTTTTCTTTTATTTCTATGTTTTTGTGCATTTTTATGCTGTTTTTGTTTGTGTTTATTAGGGTCTGTGTGTTTGTATTTTCTTATCAATGTTGTTGTGTGTGTTTCTTTTATCAATTTGTTTTTGTGTATTTGTTTATGCATGTTTTTATTGTAATGTTTGTATCTCCGCTGGATGTCACGGCATTATCGTTCAAATATAGGCAGTCCGTACTTGTGATGGTTCCCAAGGATCCAATATGATCACTTAGGTATCGTGGAATCTTTATTTTCCCAATGTGTTTTTGATTTGTGTAATGTGTTAGTGTGCATTATTTATTAGTATTTACGATGTGTATTTTTAATGTTGTTTATGTGTGTTCATTGTGTTTTAGTCTGTGATTTTTATGTGTCAGTGCGTTCTTTTTATGTGTATATGTGTGTATTTTTATAGTGTGCGACTATTTTAATGTTTTAGATAATTTATTTATGGATTTAAGGATATAATCAATCTGCCCACAACCTGCCAAACTTTTGAATTTGCCACCTCTCGCTTTGTGTGCCTTGCATAGCGCATTGATAATGTAGACATGGTGAAGATGATAGAGCTACTAGAGTAGTTTGCGTCATAAGTTTACCCGCAAGTTTGTACAAGCACCTTCAGTGCCTTCCGAAAATTGGTTATTTCCGTTCATACATTTTATATGCAACTTCATTGGCTACAATCTCAGCTAATGTTTTGCTTTAATTTATCTCAATCTAGTCATCATGTTAAAAGTTTCTTGTCTGCATCGCGGTAAAATCATGTTTGCATAGGGTTGTAGGGAACGTTGTCCATCTTCATTAAATCACACTATTCATACGTGCCTATAATGGTGTGAGTCACATTGTTGCTTATTTACTATTGATGTCAAATTTTTTTGGTCATTGGTCATTTTTAATCTCTAGAAACAAAGGAGGCCACATAACAATGTGAACACTACTTATAATATTTTCTAGTTGTGATATGAGATATCCTTCTTAGTTATACTTTACCCTAAGGAATAGCTAGAGAGGCAAGAACTAGAAGCCAATCTGATTACAAATTAGCAGGTTTGGTAACTAATTGCCAGTTGTAATCAAGTTGGGTAATAACACAAATTAAAAAGTGAGTTAGATTTGGGTGTCCAACGGGTTGAACATAAGTAAGTACTCATCCTTAACCCTCACTTACTCCACCAATGCAAACACCACCACCGTCATCCTAATAAGACTTCTCCAGCACACTTCAACAAATCAATTGAAAATTCCATTCATATATTTCAACCAACTGAAGGTATATGCTCCAGTAGATCACTCTAAGTCAATGTCGGTTAGACATAGATAGATCACTCAAAGTCTATATTTATTAGTGCGTTTGTGTGTGTTTCATTGTGCATCGTGTATTTTTCTTTTATCAACGTGTTTTTTTTTTTTTGGGTATATTGTGTATTTTTCTTTTATCAACGTGTGTGTTTATACTTATGTGTTACTGTGTATCAATATGTGTATTTTTTTGTTATCAATATGTTTTTGTGTGTTTTTATATGTCTACTTTGTGTGTCCGTGTGTTTTTATTAGTGTATGTGTATTTTTCATCAATTTATTTTTATGTGTGTNCTTTTGTGTGTTTTTATATGTCTAGTTTGTGCGTCCGTGTGTTTTTATTAGTGTATGTGTATTTTTCATCAATTTATTTTTATGTGTGTACATTTTCTTTTATCAGCATATTTTTGTGCATGTGCCTTTAGGTGGATTGTGTGTGGGTGCGGTGTTGCTGGGGTTGTTTTTATTATAGTGTGTGTATTTTTTCATCTTCCAATTTGTGTTAATGTTTTTTTGTGTGTATAGTGTGTGTGGTGCTGCTGGTGAATTTTTTTATATTATCTTAGTGTCTATGTGTGTGCCTTTTGTGATTCAATGTGTGCGGTATTTTTATTATATATATGTGTATTTTTATTAGTGTGTGACTGTTGTAATGATTTTGACTCTTTATTTACGGGTTTATGAATTGATCCCCGCCTTTTATGACCAAATCCATTGCAACTATTTGTGAATTCTTGTCATATGCAAGGAAGTCTGCTTTATCAAACCTTTTAGTTTCGGAAGTTGATGCGCTAATGTCTTTGTTTAAGAACTCTTGTATGCAGTGGGTTGATATTTGGAAGCATGTATATGTTTACATGCTGGTCATTTGTTGGGCGGTTTCATTTGAAAATGACTTTCTTTTGTTTGGTCAAAGATTGATGGAAAGCTTACCAATATCAAGAAAGAGGTAGCCACTGAATACTAAGCACCGCAAGACGCTACCTGTGGTTAGTAAGGAGTGTTTATCTGTTGCTTCTCAATACGTACGAATATCTTCTTTCTCTACTCATATCGTTTCCTGTATATATCGAAAATAACTTGTAGCTTGTGCACAGGAGATAATTTCTTTTAAACAGCCTGATGTTTGACAGGGTTCCACAATTTTAATAATTTAAAACTCTCTTTGACTAGTTTTATCCCACTGATTCTACCTTGTATTTAGTGAAGTTTTATACTTCATGCCGATAATCATGTCGGTATGTACATATATCTAAAAAATATTTTGGATCTTTCTAACAATTCTGAATTTGATACATGGTCGATGTACTATCATCCATGATTCATGTCTGTCTCAATTTTCAGTTGGAAAATGGTGGAGATGACTTGTTTAAGAGCTTTGCAAGAATGTTGTCTTTCTAGTGACGGGTGAAGGTTTTGTAATGCTTAGCTATGTAA